GGGGTCTCACCAAGGGTGTCCCCGGGGGTCTCAGGGCTCTCAGGGGGTGTCCCCGGGGGTCAGGGGTCTCACCGGGGGTCCCGGGGGGCCGGCGGCAGGCGGGGCAGTGCCGCGGGGGGGGCACGGCCACGGCGCTGACGTAGATGTCGCGGTGATTCTCGTCGCTCATCAGCATGGCGCTCAGCAGCAGCCCCGGCGCCGAGCGCGTGCTGCCAACGGGGCACAGCGGGCACGGCTGGCACACCCGGCACACCTGGCACCCCTGGCACAGCCGGCCATGCCAGGCACAGCCGGCACACCCGTGGGTGGCACTCACTTGAAGCCGAAGACGATGACCTTGTCGCTGTCCCCGGGCCACTCGCACACGGTCAGGTACAGGTCGCTGTAGATCTCCTCGCCCTGGAACAGCCGCACCTGGCGCACCTGCCGGGGCGGGGCTGGCACCGAGCTGGCCCCAGGGCGGCCCCAGGGCAGCCCTCGGGGCCCTGGCTGTCCCTGGCTGTCCCTGGCTGTCCCTGGCTGTCCCTGGCTGTCCCTGGCTGTCCCCAGTGCCCGTACCAGGCGCAGCTTGCTGTGCACGTTGAACTCCCACCAGTACAGGTGGTACAGGTAGGAGGAGAAGCCATTGTCCCCAGTGTCCCCGGTGTCCCCTGTGTCCCCAGTGTCCCCTGGCTGTCCCCTGGCTGTCCCCTGGCTGTCCCCTGTGTCCTCTGGCTGTCCCTGGGATGTCCCCAATGTCCCCAATGTCCCGTACCAGGCGCAGCTTGCTGTGCACGTTGAACTCCCACCAGTACAGGTGGTACAGGTAGAAGGAGAAGCCATTGTCCCCTGTGTCCCCTGGCTGTCCCCTGTGTCCTCTGGCTGTCCCTGGGCTGTCCCCAATGTCCCCAATGTCCCGTACCAGGCGCAGCTTGCTGTGCACGTTGAACTCCCACCAGTACAGGTGGTACAGGTAGAAGGAGGAGCCATTGTCCCTGGTGTCCCCAGTGTCCCCTGTGTCCCCTGGCTGTCCCTGGCTGTCCCCTGGCTGTCCCCAGCTGTCCCCAGTGTCCCCAGTGTCCGTACCAGGCGCAGCTTGCTGTGCACGTTGAACTCCCACCAGTACAGGTGGTACAGGTAGAAGGAGAAGCCATTGTCCCCAGTGTCCCCTGTGTCCCCTGGCTGTCCCCTGGCTGTCCCCAGTGTCCCCAATGTCCCGTACCAGGCGCAGCTTGCTGTGCACGTTGAACTCCCACCAGTACAGGTGGTACAGGTAGAAGGAGAAGTCGTCGGAGCTGCTGGTGTAGGACAGCACGTAGCGACCGCACTTGGAGAAACCCAGGAAGATGTGCCTGGGGACAGGGACAGGGACAGTGAGGGACAGGGACAGTGAGGGACAGGGACAGGGACAGGGACAGTGAGGGACAGGGACAGGGACCCGGGCCCGGCTGCCCCCGCCGCCCCCCGCTTCCCCCCGGGGCCGCCCCGCTCCGCTTTCGAGCTCGGCGCCATTTTCCCGGACCGGCCGCTTCCGGCGCGCCGCACGCCGCTGTGGCCCCGCCCGCACCGCGCTCCTATTGGCCGCTGATGCACCGCCCACGCGTTTCACTGGTTGGGTCATCCGTCAATCCTCAGCGAGCCCCGCCCCCACACCGCGATAGGACCAATAGAAATCCGACAGCCGCAACACGATTGGCTGCTGCCCGCGCCCGTCTGTTCTGGCGGGGTTACCATGGAGACGAGGCAGCGCGAGGGCGGAGCTACGATGTGGGCGTGGCCGTTTTAATGATTGACAAGTGGGGCGCGCATCGGGAGTGACCAAAACCCGCGTTTTTCGTCTTAAAAACTTTATCACCATTATAATCATAATTATAATTAATTACAATAATTGCTGAGAGCGCCCGGAACAGCCCCTCCCCTACAGGCACTTGGGGGGGATCCGCTTTGGTGGGGGGGACACGGGGGTTTTTGGGGAGGATTTGGGGGTGTCCAGGATTTTTTTGGGGGGGTGGGACCACCAGGATTTGGGAGTTTCCAGGATTTTTGGGGCGGAACCCTCAGAACCCGGGGGTGCCGCGGGGGGTCGGGGGGGGTTCCCCGGGCTCGGGGGGCTCGGTTGGGCGGGGGTCTCACCCACCCTCTCTCCCTGCGTGCCCAGGCGCCGCGCGGCCTCCGTGTAGAGCCGCAGGTGCCGCTGCAGGTGCTCGGCGTACTCTGCAAGGGGGGAGGGCAAACCGCCATAAAACAGCGGGGAAAGGAGAAAATGGGGGGAAAAAGGGGGATTTCGGGGCTCAGGCCCCCCTCACCCCTGCGGAAGTGGGGGTCGCCCCCCTGCAGCCGCGCCCGCAGCCCCTGGATGCGCCGCTGCAGCTCCTGGTGCTGCTGCCGCAGCTCGGGGGGCACCGCGCGCCCCAGCGGAGCCATCTGGGGAGGGGGCGACACGCCGGGGGGTCAGGGGCACCCCCGGGGGGCTCCCCTGCGTCCCCCCCCGCCAAAGCCCCCTCCTCACCTTGCGCTCCAGGCGCTCGCGGTCGAAGTGCAGCAGGTTGAGGCTGGGGAGGGTCGGGAGGGGTCTGGGAAGGGATTTGGGGTCTCTGCGGGGGGAACGGGGGTCCCGGCGGGGGTCGCGCCCCCCAGTCCCCACCCCCGGTGGGGATGGGGTCCCCCCGGTAGGGATGGGGTCCCCCCGGCCCCGCTGCTCACCGGTTGTTGCCGTCCCTCGGGGCAGCCGCGCTCGGTTTGGGGACGGCGAGCTGGGCGGGGGCAGCGCGGGGTCGGCCCGGGCTGAGCCCCCCGCGATGGTCCCGCGGGGTTCCGGGGGGCTCCCGGCCGACCCCCGGGGCTTCCCAGCGGCTCCCGGGCACTCCCGGCCCATCCCGCGGGGTCCCGGGGGGATCCCGGGGGGTTTCCAGCCCATCCCACCTATTCCCGGGGGGATCCCGGGGAGTTCCCGGGGGGTTCCCGGCCAACCCCGGATGGGTTCCCCGCCAATCCCAGTGAGCTCCCGGTGCCTCCCGGCGGCTTCCCCGCCATCCCCGCGGATTCCCGGGGGGTTCCCGGCGGTTCCCGGCCAATCCCGGAGGTTCCCGGGGGGTTCCCAGCCCATCCCGCGGGGTCCCGGTGGTTTCCCGGGGGGGATTCCCGGCCAATCCCGGTGGTTCCCCGGCGATCCCCGGTGGTTCCCAGCAGTTCCCGGCCCATCCCGGTGGGCTCCCAGCCAATCCCGGGGAGTTCCCCGCCGATCCCGCGGTTCCCGGTGGTTCCCGGTGGGTTCCCAGCCGATCCCGGGGGGTGTTCCCAGCCAATCCCCGCAGTTCCCCGGGTCTCCCCACAGTTCCCGGCAGTTCCCAGGGGGTTCCCAGTGGTTCCCGGGGGGTTCCCGGCGGTTCCCGGGGGGTTCCCGGCGGTTCCCAGGGGTCTCCCAGGGGGTTCCCGGTGGTTCCCCGCGGCTCCCCAGCAATTCCCGGGGTGTTCCCGGCACTCACGGCGGGCTCGGGCGCCGGCTCCAGCACCAGCCAGCGCTCGCAGCGCGGCTCCAGCTCCCGCTGCGGCCCCAGCGGCTCCCGGAGCCGCACCCAGACCTCCAGCAGCCCGCCCGTGCGGCGCCGCCCGTCCAGCAGCTGCACCGCGGGACGGCAGCGGTGAGGCCGGGACCGGGACCGGAACGGGGACGGGAACGGGGACGGGGACGGGGACGGGAATGGGAACGGGGACGGGGACGGGGACGGGACCGGGAACGGGAATGGGAACGGGAACGGGAATGGGAACGGGGACGGGAATGGGAACGGGAATGGGAACGGGACCGGGAACGGGAACGGGGACGGGGACGGGAATGGGAATGGGAATGGGAACGGGAATAGGAATGGGAACGGGAACGCAGGGGGCGGGGAGGGGGGGACCGGAACGGGAACGGGAATGGGAAGGGGAATGGGAACGGGAACGGGTACGGGAATGGGAATGGGAACGGGAAAGGCGGGGACAGGCACGGGTGAGGGGCGGGAATGGGAACGGGAACGGGGGAAATGGGGATGGGAACTGGAACGGGAATGGTGGGAACGGGAACGGTGGGACTGGAAACGGGGGCAGTGGGAATGGTGGGGATGGTGGGGCTGGGAATGTGCTGGGAAGCGCTGGGAGAAGCAACGAGAGCCAGGGGAACGCTCGGGAATGCCAGGACGGGGGAAGGGGCACAGCTGGGAGCTCGGGAATCCCCAGGAAGGATGATGGGGCACATCTGGGAGCTCGGGATGGAGGTGGGGCACATCTGGAACCCCCAGGCAGGGGCGGGGGCACATCTGGAACCCCCGGGATGGAGGATGGGGCACATCTGGAACCCGCAGGCAGGGGCAGGGGCACATCTGGAACCCTGGGAATCCCCAGGAAGGATGACGGGGCACATCTGGGAGCTCGGGATGGAGGATGGGGCACATCTGGAACCCCGAGGAAGGGGCGGGGCCACATCTGGCAGCTCACCTCCAGCTGCTGGCGCAGCTCGCAGCTCCCCTCGAGCCCCTCGAGGCGCAGCAGCGCCGAGCCCAGCGCGCGCTCGGGCCGGAACAGCCCCCTGCGGGTGGGGGTCAGGGGGCACGGGGCCCGGCCCCAAAACAGCCCCAAAGAAATAGCCCCAAACCAGCCCCCTAAGGGCCCCAAAATAACCCCAAAACAGCCCCAAAATAGCCCCAAAATA